ACTTTGCACACTAGATCTGTAGATATTCAATGACCATATATGGTCATGTGACCTCATTAAAAATGCATAATTATTATATCTGGAGCACTATTGCAGATAGATAAATTCAACCAATGCTTTATTGCAGACTTTACACACTGGATCTGTAGATATTCAATGACCATATATGGTCATGTGACCTTATTAAAAATGAATGAATATCATATGTGAGGCACTATTGCAGGTAGAGACATTCAACCAGTGCTTTATTGCAGACTTTGCACACTGGATCTGTAGATATTCAATGACCATATATGGTCATGTGACCTAATTAAAAATGCATAATTATTATATCTGGAGCACCATTGCAGATAGATAAATTCAATCAGTGCTTTATTGCAGACTTTGCACACTAGATCTGTAGATATTCAATGACCATATATGGTCATGTGACCTCATTAAAAATGCATAATTATTATATCTGGAGCACTATTGCAGATAGATAAATTCAACCAGTGCTTTATTGCAGACTTTGCACACTAGATCTGTAGATATTCAATGACCATATATGGTCATGTGACCTCATTAAAAATGCATAATTATTATATCTGGAGCACTATTGCAGATAGATAAATTCAACCAGTGCTTTATTGCAGACTTTGCACACTGGATCTGTAGATATTCAATGACCATATATGGTCATGTGACCTCATTAAAAATGCATAATTATTATATCTGGAGCACTATTGCAGGTAGAGACACTCAACCAGTGCTTTATTGCAGACTTTGCACACTGGATCTGTAGATATTCAATGACCATATATGGTCATGTGACCTCATTAAAAATGCATAATTATTATATCTAGAGTACTATTGCAGATAGATAAATTCAACCAGTGCTTTATTGCAGACTTTGCACACTAGATCTGTAGATATTCAATGACCATATATGGTCATGTGACCTTATTAAAAATGCATGAATATCATATGTGAGGCACTATTGCAGTGCTTTATTGAAGAAATTGCACACTAGATCTGATAAACATATTTAAAAATTAAAAATGCACAACTATCTTACCTGGAACTGCAGATATAGACATTCAATCAATGCTATCTCTGATGGATTTCTTGTTACTATTTTCTAGGTCGTGGACCATTTCCGGGCATTATTGATTTGTATGGCACTGCTGGGGGTCTTATGGAAATGCGGGCTTCCTTATTAGCCAACTATGGTTACGCAGTATTGGCATTAGCTTTTTGTGGATATCAGGACTTACCAGAAATGTTTTTACAGATTGACCTTGACTACTTTGAGGCAAGTGTATATCACAATATATACTAGTGTCAGTCTCTTGTGGGTTTACCAAATACATTGTGAATTAAAATTATAGATTACATGTAATTAAGTTTTTGTTAGTTATGTACTGGTGCTGTGCAGGTAATACTTACAATTATTAATTATTATAATAATTATATTCTAAAAGCTTGGATAGATATAAGAGAACATGTACACTCAAGAATGTGCATAATGGGGTAATTTTTTTCAAAACTGCTGTGAAATTTCAGCAGCACATCCAGTGCGAGCACACCCAAACATCTCGGAGTTTCACAAAGATTGTGTCACAGGATGTACGTCTTTCACACAATCTGTTATTTTCTGTACAGGAATCCATTAATTGGTTCACTGATCAGGATTTTGTAATGCCTGGAGGTATTGGAACAATAGGTCTGTCAAAAGGTGGCGAGATTGCAGTTGCCATGGCAACCTACTTTCCAGAGAAGGTAAGATACATGTACATGTAAAACCACTGATTCCCAATACTGCAAACATAAGACATGATTGTTCATTGTATTGAGCGATACGTAATGGTGGTTGATGCCATCCCATACTACCCGAGTGCATAGTTTCCGGCATTCTCGGGATAACCTTATTATCATACATTTTTTTCTTGTAGTCATAATTTAGTGAGATACAACAGCCCGGAATGGCACTATAAAATATTCATGTCTGCATGACCGTTTAATGTACATGATGTTAACGAAATAAGGTGTTCGAAAATGTTCGTGTAGCATTTTATGAATGGATGAATTATATTGTTCTCGCTGCCGTATATTTTAGCCAAGATTAATATGTAAATTGAACATATTAATATGCACAAAACAAACACCATTATAAACTGAATGACCCCATCACTCCTTTTTTCTGGTGGCCGGTAATTTGTAAAATGTGTTTTTCTCTATCAAATCAGGTAAAAGCAGTGGTCAGTATAAATGGGGCACATATGCATACTTACAGTGCAATGAAATTTAGAGGTCAAACACTGCCATATACTGGGTATGTATTTGTCTTAAGATTGGGGGGGGGGGGGGTAGCGAGCTGATGAAAATGTTGACGCAGCTTAAATATAGTCACATGATATGTCACATGATTGGGTACCATCAAGATTTATATAATATGCAAAGTGCTAATTAATATGCACAAATTTGTATCAAAAACCAAACACATCTTTCGTATGCCTCAATGTGTCAACAGATTCATGATCTGATTTCACGAGAATACATACTGGGTATGTATTTGTCTTAAGATTGGGGGGGGGGGTAGCGAGCTGATGAAAATGTTGACGCAGCTTAAATATAGTCACATGATATGTCACATGATTGGGTACCATCAAGATTTATATAATATGCAAAGTGCTAATTAATATGCACAAATTTGTATCAAAAACCAAACACATCTTTCGTATGCCTCAATGTGTCAACAGATTCATGATCTGATTTCACGAGATCAGAGAAACACGATTCACTTACAGTCATACAGACAGACTTACTTGGCTTACTCGGTTTTGCACATAAGCAGCCAATCACATGCATACTACAATGTAAACTACATAATGTTGTTTGATTGCTTTATAACAGATATGAAACCACTAAACTAATCGTCAAAGACGGCAATGCGTCCTGTTTGGAGCTCGTTGATGATCCCGTCGAACAAGCTGTTTTTGATGTAAGAATGATATCCATTAATTGAATATTTAAATTATCATATTTTGTTATAATAATGAATCGATATATCAATAAAGTATTTGCTCTATTAGTAGCGCATGTATTTAATATGTAAAAAACAGTTGATTATGCTTAAGGTCACAAAAATAAGTGATTATTATTTCTTTTTCCAGCTTGCAATAATAATAATTATAATAATTCCCACTCGTATCAACATTATGCAAAAGATAGTTTTAATTTGGGTAGCATCTCATCATGCCCTTAAAAAAATAAGTTGTTATAAACTTCAGTAAAATATGATAATTGTAGAGAAAAAACAATACCTTCTTGAGTTTGCAAGCAATGTTTTATTTGTTTATTTTTTTTTTTTAATTATATTCCTTTCTCAAATAACTCAATTTATATGCGACTACTTTTCAGTTCAGCAGAGTAAAAGCAGAGATGCTGTGGATAGCAGCTGGAGACGACCTAAACTGGAAAAGTCAATTCTATGCAGAGGAAGCAGTCAAAATACTCAAAACACTAAATATGTCTAATTATCAGTATTTGTACTATCCAGAAGCGGGTCACCTAATTGAACCATCAAACACTCCATTTTGTGCATTATCGTACCATAAATTGTTAGGTAAGTATGTAAATATCATAAAATGTTGTGAATCCTTTATTTTGCAAGACAAACAGAAAAATGCATAATTATGTTGTAATGAACATTTCATTTAATAAAATTGTCTGCTGACAGTTTTATTTTCGCACATTCATTTTGGCCTTTCATTGAGGCAATGTGTTAAAGAGTCCAGTAATTATCGTGCAATTTTGTGCCAATCGATCCTGTAAAATTATATCGTGAAATAGCAGTGAAAATTAATTTAAAATTGTCCTTTTGAAAATTCTCTCAACTTAATTTAAATGATAGTGGTTGATTGTGCCACACAGGTGTTTGATTTGTGTTGATGAACATGTTCCCACAACACAATGAGCTCTACCAGGGGCAATTAGCATGAATGCAAGTTTTGATGTGGCCTTGATGTGCACTAAATACTATTTAGAGTCCTTTAATTTGATGCATGCCAATTACACCAGGAATTATTTTTAGTCAAACCACTTTTTTTGGAAGCTTGATCTATTAAAGTTGTCTTTTTTGTTAATATGGAACCCATGTGCTTACAGTGTAACAGAACACTGCCCTCTACCAACTTTGTTTGTTTTTCAATTTGAATATCTAAAATGGACATTTTAAACATTTGATAGTCGGATATCACCGGTTTTCTGGATTTGTTTCATTTCATGACAATATCAGTGATGATTATTTTTGTTTGCACATTTTTGGCTAGAACAGATATTTCTGAATTCTTGCACATAAAACACATAAACCAGATTCTAATTACCCCATTGTTAATTTATAAGTACATTCCTGAATACATTTAGCAAGTGTATTCAATCAAACTATATTACCATATTACTTTGTGTATGTTAGAAATGTTTTCAGTGACTTTTATTTGACAATTTCATAGTGCCACATGAAACCAACAAATAGCTTGTTTTTGTTACTGTATAAATTGTTTATTTTATTTCATAAGGTTTGAATTTACTGTGGGGAGGGAAGGCGAAGGCACATACAAGAGCACAAGAGGACAGCTGGAAACGGATTCTTCAGTTTTTTCAGAAAAAATTACAACTATCAAGTAAAATATGAGTTGAAAATCTTCACTGTGAATATAAACAAAATGCTAGAATGATGCGTCTCATGCTAGATTGTAAAAATGATCGTGACATTGCTGGTCTATTGCAATAAATGATACAAAAAAAATCAGTTTTTTTAGCTCAATATCTGAACGCCGGTTTGTAAACGGTAATACCGGTATATTATATACCTAGGTGGAAACAAGGTGTGTTTTTTTTGTCATCTAAAAAAGTCATTTTGTATAGTTGACATAAAATAAATATGCAAGAAGAAGTTGAAAATGTAAAAAGTTGATACGTACGTCGACGGGCAATGCAGGACGGTGGATGCCGACGGACAATCACTCGTATGATAAGCTCCGCTTGACAAAGTCAACAGCGGAGCTAAAAAAAATGTATAACATTTTATGACAGAATGGTGGGAAAAATTATGGCATTCAATTGATTTAATCACAGATGTCAAGCTGTGATGTTTCATTATTAATGGTTGTGATGCACCTTCTTGTCAAGGCCGAGTCTTATTTACAAGATGCTGTCTATGATGGTGGGTTTGTATACACAGAAAGTTTACCTTCTTTGTCAGTGAGATGGTTTTTATTTGCGTAAATTGATCAGTGCAAATTTGATGTACTTAAAATTCAACAATAAAGATGTATTAAAAAGAATTTATTATGCTGAATATAAATGATCTAATTTGCATATTAATTAACCAGTTTTTCAAAGTATGCATAAGAATATCTTATTTAATTACATTTAAATTATTTCAAACATATATTAACATTTTTTTCATCTTCGTTTGAAACCAGGATTTATAATTCGATCTCAGTCA